AGAATGGGTTGGGTTGGAAGGGTCCTTAAAGGTCATGGAAGCAGAGAATGGTTTGGTTTGAAAAGGTCCTTAAAGGTCACAGAACCACAGAATTCTGGAATGGGTTGGAAAGGTCCTTCAAGGTCACAGAGCCTTGGGCAGGGATGGGGCTCCCACAGCAGTTCCAGCTCCTGAGCTCCATCTGGGTGAAGGATTTCCCCCCCCCTAAATCTCCTTCACCTTAAAGCCGTTCTCCCATGAATTTATGGCTTCCATGAGCCAACATTTGCTTCCTCTTTCTTTCAGCACCTGAACTCCAAATAGAATTTTCCCTCTTAGGAAATCTCCCTTCCTCTTTTCCCTCCCGCGCCCCTCATCTGTAACAAAACCCATTTTTGGTGTCTTCTGAGAGCATTTCTGTGCTCGTGGATTGGTGTCAACTCATTCCTCAGTAATTTTGTTCTCGTTTTTCAGCGCTGAGCCAAGCTATCAGCCTGGACCTGCCAGAAACAGAACGCCTCTCTATGCTGCTCTTATCCAGCTTCCAGGTCAGCTCCCCCCCTGTTGCCCAAGCACGATATTTTTCTGACCTTCCCTTTATGTTCTGCTCTGTAGAATTGGGATCAGAAAAGAGGAGGAGGAATTAATTTCTCCTTCAGTAACGAATCTTCCTACAAACACACAGTTAAATTTCAAGCTTTCATGGGGTCCCGCAGCACAAACAGCTTTGGGGTGATGAAATCTCTGTGTTCTCATAGTTCTCTGCACAGAAACTCGAGCACATCTTGGAGCAGACAGAAGGCTTCAGTCCCGAGGCTTTCAAAGCCAACGGTGAGTTTGTGGTTTTTGTGTGTTATAAAAGAGGTGAAAAGCACAGCTTTCCATTGGGGTGCTGTTAAGGTGAGACCTGCTGGCTTGGGGAAGAAGGATCCGGCGTTGCTGGTATCACCTCAGTTTCTGTGAGTTCAGTTTAATTAAGCTACAATCCCAGAGATCAGCACAAATGACAGCTGAACAGACAAGGGACCAAGCTGGCTTTCTGCTCTGCTCTTCAGCAATTAGTGGGCAGTTGGTGTAAGAGCTGCTCACGTGGCTCTGTTTCCCACCTCCAGTGAGTTCAGTTTCAGAAGACCTGAAGAGATACATAGAGAAACTGAAGCTGGATGGAACCCTGCAGAGCTGCGTGGAGAAAGCTGAAGGGTAAGGAACTTCCAGGCCACTATTTGTTGTTTTTCAGGTTTTCCTGCCTCAATATCCCATTCCCAGACAGTAAACGAGGCATTTTGGGGCTGATGACGTTACTGGAACATCACGGTGGATATTGAAAGGGAATATTAATTTATTTTTATGAGGTGATCTAAAAGATAAAAAAGTCTCTGTGTGGTGTTAATCATTTGCAGAGCCCTGTGTGGTTTGTGTGTGTGTGTGATGCACAAACACTTCCATCTCTCTGCATCTCTGCTTCAGGGATCCCTCGGACTCTGTTTCGGATGAATCGGTGTGCAAAGCAAAGGAGTGCATTGCCAGGTGAGGGCTGCTGATTTTCCTGCCTTTCTAAAAGGTGGTTTTTTTTTTGGTATGTTATTTCTCTGCACTTCACTTTCTGTGTGCCTGCATTGCAATTTAAACCCCACAGAGGGGATTCCTGCTGCGTGTTGCAATTTGAACCCCACAGAGGGGATTCCTGCTGCATGTTGCAATTTAAACCCCACAGAGGGGATTCCTGCTGTGTGTTGCAATTTAAGCCCCACAGAGGGGATTCCTGCTGCGTGTTGCAATTTGAACCCCACAGAGGGGATTCCTGCTGTGTGTTGCAA